ATCATCATCATCATCATCATCATCATCATCATCATCATCATCATCATCATCATATACCTAGTCTAAAACCCACCTAAAATATTTAGTAAGTAGTTTAAAAATGCCACTATATAACTAGGACTAAATCACAAATGCCCAAAAAGGAGAAACTCTGGGACGGAGGCGCGGCTGGTCCCCACCGGCTTCTTCGCTCTGGAGAGCCGCCCTCCTTCGTCCACCTTGAGCGGGGCTCCAGCGGGGGCTGCCAGGGCTTCGCTTCGAGCGCCTGGGGGCCACGCAGAGGGAGGGGGTGGGCTGTGGGGCGGCTGCCCCGACAGAAGCCCGGCCCCGAGGAAGCCTCGCGGTGCCAGGGGCAGCGGAGATGGCGCTCCAGAACCCCCCTGAAGTCTGGGGAAGGGGCTGCAAGAAGGGACGGGCAGCCTGGCTGGAGAACATGGATCTGAATAGACTAGACAGAGTTGGAAGGGACCTTGGAGGTCTTCTAGTCCAACCCCCTTCCTAGGCAGGAAACCCTACCCCACTTCAAATGGTTGTCCAGTCTCTTCTTAAAACCGTCCAGGGATGGAGACCCCACAACTTCTGAAGGGAAGCAGTCATTGTTCTCCCTCTTAGTTCTAAGTTGTTTCCCTCCTTGATCCGGGGGAGAGCGAGGGCCTCTGGCTGGGGGCCCAGAGGTGCCCCAAACCTCCAGCCAGCCCCCTAGATCTGTCGCCTTTGGGTCACGGCAAACCTCCTTTGCAAGGGAAATAAATCCTCCCTGGAAAAGTGGAAGGCCGGGCAGGGTCCCAGGTTTGCTTGGATGGGGCACCACCAGGTAATCCCAGGGGCAGAGCCCAACCCAAGCGGGGTGGACAAAGGCCCCGGCAACCCCTCACTTCTGTGGCATCGCTAAGGACACAACACGGGCCCTTGAAGCACGGTCCAGCCTGGCTGGGCTGCTCTGGGGAAACCCAGGCAGGTCCGAAGGCGGTTCGGGGCCCCTCGGACACCCGGGATGGGACGGGCAGCCAGGGTGATGCGCCTGGGCCCCGACCCTTGGCTCTCGGGGGGCCAAATTCCCCAAGGGGAGCCTCGGAGGAGGAGGGGCAGGGACTTGCCAACTTAGCCGCTTTAAGAGGTGTGGACTCCCAGAAATCCCCAGGCTGGCTGGGGGATTCTGGGAATTGAAGTCCGCTAAGTGTGGAACCCCCCCCCCATGGGAACCCCAGGTGCCTGGAGGGAGCTTTTCCAAGGCTCAGAGGCTACTAAAAGGTGCAGCTCAGGGACCCTGCCGCCTTTTCATCCCATTGGGGAGTTGGAAAGATTGCCCCCCCCCGGACTCCTTTGGGAGGTGGGGAGCATCAGGGACGCCCCCCCAGAAGGAGAGGGAGGGGCAGAGGAAAAGGAGAACAGCCCCACGGCACCCCACCTGTTTCCCGGCATGCCCTCTGGGCCCCTGCAAGGCTGAACCCCCCCCCCCC